TTCCTGCTTGTACTGTGAATGCAAAATTGGCTATTATTCAATCCACTGTTATTCAACAGTTTTTAATTTTTCTACACATAAAGTTTGGGTTTTTAAACCTAAATTGTGATTACTAACGTTTTGATTGTTTCCACACACAGTCAGGAAGGGCCATAAACAGTGTGCCACATCTTGCAAAATCTTAAGCATCCTCAAATCCCATTGATTTCAAATAGAAGCTAATGCTGCTCATCTTTACGTCAGGCCAAAAGCCAAGATTCTCCACTCTGAAATATTTTAATCCAACTGCTTGCCTCTTTCATCATTAAGCATTATTTGCTACTTCTTTGAATATAAAATAATATTTTAACCACAGCAAGCCAAAACTCATTTCTGTTACAAATCTACCTAAACAAATACAAACCACCAAATTATTTCTTCTGCAAAGAGGAGGAGGTCTAATTAACTTCAGAAAGTCTTTACTACGTTGTTCTTTTACCACAGAGATGTGTAATGAAGTATGAGTTCTACAACCATACATAAGCAACTATTTTACTTACAGCAACAATTTTGTCATTAACATGAATTTGGCCGTTGTGGTCAGCAGCACTACCAGGTATTATATTTTTCACAAAAATCCCTGAAGGTTCCATTGGCAGGAGGAGGGGAAGAAGAAAAACAAGTCACTACATTAATCTAATTTACTTCTTTTCTTAATAAGATTTTTAATTACAGCCTTTTCCACACACTACTTCTGTCCACAAAGTTATGATTCTGTAAACCCCCAACATTTGCACATTACCACTCACACAGCTTGACACAGAACGACCAAGGATAAGTCATGGAAAAAACAGACACAATCACTTGTAAACTGACCTCAAAATTTTTTCCTTAAAATGGGCCACCTCCTCCATGGATACATCCTTGGGCTTACCAAGGCTTTAAGCCACAATCACTTAAATCTATGGTGTATTCGATTTCAATAGGACTATCTCAGCTAAAAGTAAAGTACGTGCTTAAGTACTTTGATGAGGACTCTAATCGTCTTCCTACAGCTGAAGAATTTAGGACTTTAAGTCTTAATGAAAAAGGACTTTTCTTTAAAAACATAAGAGAAACGTGGAAATCAGAAAAGCTGTCCTTTGTCATGTTTGATGTTTGATTATTAATTCCAACTTATAATTAGAACAAGGAAATGAAAACAAAACAACAACAAACAGTAAAAAACCCAATCATCAGTTGAAACAGTAATCCTTCCCTTCCACAAACTCCTGAAAAAACTACAATTCATTAAACAACCAAAGTTGCATCTTGAGCTATTTTGTACGTACTGAAGATGCCATTCAAAAGTTAATGCAAACTGGAAACATCTGATACTCTGTTTTTGAAATTCTTCTTAAAATGTGCTAAATGAATTGTTCCATGTACGTACCACAGGGGCAAAATACGGAGCAGTGTGGAGAGGAACCCGATTGTGTTAGAGCCTGTACATGCAGGCACTGTGTGTCACAGTCTAACATCTTGCACAGTAACAACATGAGCATGTAGAATTCACAGTCCAGCACTGAAGTGGAAATTATTTTTTAAGCTAATTACGACTCTTTAAAACTTTTTTGTGGCTGAACTTCACTTAGCAGCACACCCTCCAAGTACCTTCTTCACATATTTTGGAGGTTACACTGCTTCTAAGAAGGGCCATCCTCTTTGCCCATAGCAAGTAAAGGGTACGTGAGAAGCCTCTGCCCTAGACTTTACTAAATCCTATAGAACTCACCTCCATCACATGTGCCAGTGTATCCAACAATTGTTATCCCCAAGCTTTGCCCATTCTTTTTTATAAGTTCAACATCATAGGTCTCACAAAGGTTGGTATTATCCTATAAATAGAGCACAAGACAATCAAAAAAAAAAATCACATAATTTCCCAGTACCATTACAATACTGCAGGTTAAGATCTTCAGAAGCAAGCAGTGATTTTGGTTTTCCTGTTTTAGGAGGAATTATATTTGCAGATGAGACATGTCCAAGATTTGCTGAAAAGAAGGTGTCACACAAAGTCACTAGTTGCTTTTTAAATTCTTTCCTAATACTTTCTCCACATACCTCTCTGAAGGTATATTATTTATATTTTATCGAAAACAAAGGTTTTCATTAGACTGCTTGAGGGTAATTTCCCTTTGGACTCCACTGCCACTTGGTAACAACAAAGTTCCCAGTCAATCCCATAAGAAAACCTGGACGCTCACAGAATTTCTTCTCTCCCTTTCATATCTTAGTCCTGATAAACAGTGTCATGACTCCACTTGCCTGAGCTCTTTTTACTGGATAGTTAAGAAACAAAAAAAAACCTGGTATAAATACACAGTGTTATCACATCACACATTTCTGACAGAAAAAGGGATGCTTATCTCTCCTTGTTATCACCTACTAAGGAAGTGAGGGGCAGCAGGAAAGGGATCTCAAAACAGAAAGAGGTTCGATGCCCTGAAAGAAACCCTGGGTATACATAGTAGGCACGTCTCTACTACGGAAGCAGTTCCCTACTTAAACGTAAACACAGGATACTAGGTAGATGTTGGAGCTTGCTGTTTGTTTTTATGCTATATCCCAAACCACAAAACCATTCGGAAAGTCAATCTTACACATATCAGCTTAACAAGTTTGATATGATCTGTTCAGATTTGAATGCCACCAAACTGCAAAGAGCACTGGAAGCCCCCAGGTTGTTTAAGGCAATGGGAAGCAGAAGACTCATTGCTTCGTATTCAATGAAAATTACTTTCAAGACTTAACAAGAGGAGGAGAGTATTAATTTGTAGATGCTTCATTGTTAAACTGGTAAGACAACTTCCCATAACAGTACTTGAGAAGCACATAACATGACCTGTTCTCTAAACCCTCTGCTTACTACAATTACAAAAAAAAAAAAAAACAAAAAAAACCCAAAACAAAACTAAAAAAAAAAACCAAACATAAAAGCCACCAGCTAAGATTACAATATATCTGATCTTACACTGGAGAAGTGGAGAAAAAAGTCCCCACAAAGCTGGCACCGGTATGTCCCAATGTGCAACCACTCTACTCTGACATGTAAAAAATCAGAACTGCCAGACAGAATTCAAACAGGACACCCTAAAGGTATTGGTGCTATCAAGGAGAAAAACAATCAAGCACAGATCTTGGATTGCAAGGGTTAAATTACAATACATAAAGTTGTTTGTTTTCAGTAATCAGATATGACTCAATGGAATAAAAAATATAGAGATGATCAGAGTGAGGTCTGTTAAAGTGATGAAATCAAGAGGGATAGTGTCACTGCCAATAGCAAAAAATGGACCAGGAAATTGGAAAACATTTCTTAAGAGAATGAACAAAAGAGAAGTTTAATCACATGCTTGCCAAATATCAGCTTCGGAAGGACCTATATCAAAAGCAGGCCAAAGTTATGGCTGCACCTATTTCACTTTTCACTGAAAGAGAAATCAATGCATAGCTATCGCCTTTCTCATCACACAGACCTCCCTCCACTAGCCAACTCATTAAGCTCATTAAATGCTCTCCAACTCTCTTGCTCCATAAAACACTGATGGAGATGAAGATAAGTTTTGATGCTGTCACTTATCTCTAGGAGAGGGAACCAAAACAGTAAACAAGCCTATAGCAACATCTGAAATGGAGCTATGGCCTTGACAGTCCTGCTATTTCGACAATCAAAAGCCCTTCATAGTCAGTGCTCTGGCTCTACAGAAATCTTCTCTAAGCGATGTTACTAGTAAAATGCAAACATTAGAAGGGGAGTCTGGAAAAATCAAAGTACAGAGTCCTAAATACAGTCAGCACAAGTAGGCTGCTAATACTGCTGTCAGTATCTTGGAGATAATACAGATAATACAACTGTTTTCCTGTGCCAAGGCACAGACATAACTAGTTTCAGTTATTCTCTACTGCAGGAAATTTAAAGGAAATCAAATATTAATATAAAACTGAAAAAAACCTAACCATATATTAAAAATGCCTTTCTGCGGGTTTGCAAATAAAAGAAAAAGAAAATAATTTCTATTCCAAAGCTCACAGCTAGTGAAAGTACTCAGAAACCAGAGACAAATTAGAGGAAAAAGTTCTGTTGTAAATCCGAGACAACCTGAAAGGTGGACCAGTAAAATCATCACTAAATTAATAAATACATTCAGATTAGCCACTATTCTTGACTTCAGCAAATCTCTCTTAATACCAGAAAGGGAAGTTTCTTCAAATCTAAATATGGAGGCACTATTCCGTTCAGAAAACAATAGATTGCATTCAGGAAAAAAAAAAAAAGATGAAATTGCAACATGATTTTTTTTCCCCTCTAAACTACATAGCAGGAATAAGGAGGACACCAAAAACATACCAGAAGGAAGAATATTTTAGAAAGGCTGCAGCATTTATAATGCTTGGGGTCAATCTCTGACAAATAGGCCAGCCTTTGAGGGGTTGAAGACAGAAAAACAGCTCTTTGTAGAGGAAACAAAACTAGGACCATGTTCTTTTTTTCCTAACACGGACCTTGGAAAATATGACCCAGCCAGAAAAGAAGTGCTTTATAACGATGCTGATTCTCTAGGAAAGCCTTTTTTCAGACAAGCCTACTTTTAAGACTCTAACTTTATATCCATAGATTACCTTCTTCCATCTCTCTGCCATTCACATTTCCTCCTACACCAATCTCTCTTCCTAGAGGAGGAGCTTGAGAAGAACCCAAAAGACTTTACTGACAGCTTCAACCACAGCAGTCGTCCAGAGAGAGGCAAGACACAACTCATGGCTGCCTTTTCCACTGACAATGCCCAGTGAGCGAGAAGGTGAGTTTGTAACAATATGATTGCTAGTCTGACCTTTAAAAATAGTGCTTCAAAAAAAAAAAAAAAAGCTCTCTTCACTCATACTCAAGAAACTAGACAAGACAGAAAAGGCTACTCAGATTCTACACCTAAATCTAAGCAGCGCAGTAGTAGCAGATGGTACACAAGCACAGCTTTGTTTATGTTTCGAGACCTACTGTACACTTAGTGTAGCATTTGTTGATTTTAATTACTCAAAACTGAAAAGAATGACTTCAAAAACAAGAGACTTTGATATGACCATGATAAGATTTGCTAAAACAAGTTTCAAAATTTTTAGATATATTTCCTATCACAGACAGTAGCGTAGACTATGAAAACATTACACTTCTGTTTCAGAAAAAGATGATTGTGCTGAATAATTCTGGTGTGGCCATGGCGCTCTGGATTTCAGACTAGGGAAATTCACAGTCAAGTTTTAAATCCACTTACAAATGATTGATTAGCAAAAATGTAATGAGCTAAGAAGGAGAACTAAAAGTACCATTTATCGACAACGTTTATGGTCTTGGTAATTAAATTACCCACTCTGAAATAAATTCTGTAAAGCTGGCCATTCCGATCCCGAGATTATAGATATTAATAACATAAAGGAAAAAGGGAAAAATTATAGACGGTAGAGCTGTAATAATGACCACTTAAATACACGCACATGATATCTTGAAACTCAAGAGAAGAAGCACTTTAGGTCTCCAGAACACTCTGTTCTCCTCCTCCTTTCTGATCACAAGCCACAAACATACTTAAAAATGTCATAAGGAAACACCAGATACTTACATTTCCATTTTGAAAGGAAGGTAATGTACTGACTGGCCAGCTCACAAGGGCTGGTGGAGTCTCCATGATTTCACACTTTGGGTCTCTTGCAACAATCATCCTAACAGAATTCCCACAGTTTCTCAGCACTTGGGCAACTTGTTCACTGGTCATTCCTTGCACATTGGTCCCTCCAATCTGTAAGATGTGATCTCCTGTCTGGAGCCTCCCATCCTTCGAACACAAATAAAATTGAAAAAAAAAAAAAAAGTTTCCAGTCAATACATAAAATATCTTTTCCATTACTAAATTGAAACTGTGGACAGGTATCTTCACGGTCATGAGAGCAAATGCAAGAAAATACCATAAAATTGACCACTACTGGAACTTAGTAAATAATTCAAAGCAGCGTTTGCATAATGATGCACTGTTCCTTCCACAGTAGTTAACAGGGGTAAATCAACCTTTCCCAGGCTGAGTAAGATACACAGGTTGAATTCCTAAGAAATTGGTTACTTTTCTCATTTAGGAGAAAACGGAGGACAATAATGTTTTCTAATCTCACAGGTTGTTATGTACTGCTGTTTCATAGAACACTCCTCATCAGACAGGGGTTAGAATAAAAAAGCACAGCATTTTGGTTTAGGACTTTTTACAGTTTTTCCTAATATTTCTATATTAGCCTGGCAATTCTTTTCTTATATGACTAGCTCCAACTCGAGCGAGTAAATCCACTGAAGGTAACAAGACTCCACACAAGCCATTTTTTACATGATAATTATGATTCATGACCTCCATCATCATTTCTATTACAAGCAAGCATTCATAGGACCAAATCCTCAGCTGGTATTGATCAGCACAGCTCCACTGCCTTAGGTGCATTGATTTATACAGCAATCAGAGCAGAGTTATTCCCAGGACTAACTCAAACTCATTTACAAACTCATCCAATTTTAACATGTATATGTGCTCATTATTTCACATGTTCTTAATGATGTCTCATTCAGCTAAGAATGATGTGGTGAGTTCTTAACTTACATGCTTCATTTGTAGCCAAAACACATTATTCCTTACAGCAAAACAGGTGTTACACAATAATTAAAAAATACTCATTTAGACATGACAGGTTCGGAGGGAGGCAGTCAAGCAAAAGCCAATATGTTCCAGTAAAGCTCTCTGGAACTCCAGTTTTCATTTCCATTCTCTACTAGAGGAAGTACCTCAGCCTCCCTCTTTGTATGTTACCAGATCTTGGGTTCCAGACCTCAAATATTGTAAACTGTCACGACCAAATTCACATTAAAAATCCAAATCCGTTTTGATATTGCACATGTTCTACTCCTGAAACGTAGCAACACTTAGCACAAGTCCTTAAAGATTAGCAATCAAAGGTCACAAACTACCCATATAGCTTCAAAAGATATCAGTAACTTCAAAAAGCTTTCCATCCATCCTAAGTGTCTCTTTGAACTGGTCAGACTGCAAGGCAGGGACCAAAACCCCTTTAAAATGAAACCCACTAAAAATAGGACATCTTCAATCTATAAACTGAATCTTGTAACACAATTACATCAATAGAGCAGACTCTCTTGCCTGGCAATTCATGTGGAGAGTTTCTACAGAGGATGTGCAAATCCATTAAGAGTATTTGTCCTCCCACAGACTAACAAAAGGCTGAAAATATCAAATGTACTGAAAATATTAGAAGGTTAGACAACTTTTCAGAAGTTCTGCATGTTCAACAATGTTAGAAAAGCTAAAGCACGTCTGAGAAACAACTTAATTCATATCAGGTGCTGACTTTTTCCTCAATCATACCTTCAACATATTTATTTGTAAAGTATATGTTGGCACTCAGACTTTGATGCTATCAGCTTCCTTTTGTTTAAGTATATTAGTTTATTTTAAGACTGTCAAAACCAGTTAATTATACTTTACAATCAAACAAGACGTGACATAATATAACAAATTACCCGATCTGCTAATCCCCCAGGAACAATTGTTCTTACAACTACTCCACTGGACTTTCCTCCTACAATTCCAAAGCCTAATCCTGAACCATCGTTAATCAGCTCAACATCTTCAACGTGGCCCCAGTGAATCTGCAATTAATAAAAACAGGAGATTTTAATTTCAGTTGATCTTTAATGTTTCTCACTTTCACATGTACCAGGAACGACGAGAATTAATCAGAGTAATTTTCTCTCTCTACCCCACACATTGGAGATCTGTTGGATTTTTTTCAGTCAGTTTCATTTCCTTATAAATACACAGTGGGATTTCTCATCTGTTTTTAAACACACGTTTTGTCTTTCAGTTTCAGGATAACAGGATACTAGGGAAAAGCTTAACTAAGAAAAAGCAATTTTAAGATTTTCTTGCCAAAATGAAAACTACCCTTTTAGTTTTTCATAAATCAAAATTACTGCAAACAACGGAGAAAAACAGAGGCAAGGAGCTTGCACTGGCTTAGTTTCCACTCAGCGTTGCCCAAATTCTCATTTCTGTTATTTCACTTACACACTCTAAACACCACCAGTACATGCTGAATTAATAGTGCAGTACAATATTCTGCCATACTGAATTGGAAGCATGTTTCTAAGCCACACTGTACCGTGACCTTATGTTCTACAAGACAGTCTGAAAATAACAAAGCTGTTAAGCAACCCAAACTCAGCCAATGTTTCTGTCAGATTAATATCTCATAGAAACCAAAATGGAGCGAAGTAGGCAGATTTAAGTGTTCTGTGAATAAAGGATTTATTAGCATACTGAAAATCTTTGCCAAAGCCAGTTAAATATCATAAAAGAAGTTTAAAGACCCCCTGTAGAGATATATATTTGTATTTTATTTTGTTAGTCTGTTCAGTGCAGATCTTTCAATGAAAAAGCAGTTAAAGTTTAATTCTTTAAAATTTTCAGTGCTATAAACAATATTGATTATCCACTAAAACCTTCAGATTTCACTAGCTCTGTAATAATCATGAGGGAAATAATTACTGAGAATAAGGAAAAGCACTGCTCTTAACCAGATTTTCATCAAAACCTACTAGCATCATAAATTAAGATTCAATATTGCAAACCCTGGATTAAGGTGTGCAGTTCGACCCAATTCAGCGAAGCCACCTGGACCAGATGGTTTGAACACAGATGGAAGTTCAGCCCTAGCTTATTATATGTCCCAGTGACAATCTCTCCTTGTTCAAGAAAACAAAAGGGTTCACAATCAATGAACTTTGCAGATAAAAAAACCACCCTGATAAATAAACAGGGATTGAGAGGTTCTTTAACAGATACTTTTGTTTGTTTTTAAAACAAAGGCATGGCTTTTTGTTTTGAGCAGTTTAGATTTAAATTGGTTGGGATATTTCAAGCAGTGCTCATGATAGGTTATGTTTACACTCTTTTAAGATGTAATCAGAGCATCTTTAACTGCTGAGCGCAAGGAGGTTTCAGCTGGGTATACTCGTAAAAGCATGCTTTACCCAGCCTATGCTGAACAGACCCTGCTGCTAAGAATATGTTGATCTGCTAAGGCTTCTGCTATCCCATAAAAACTCAGGATCTATTTTATAACAACGTCACGCAGCTTTGCAATGCAAGCCTTATACTTACTGCATGATCAGTCTAAATGAAATGTCATCACATATAAAATCTGATTAAAGAAAAAAAACCCCTATACGCAAAGCTTGCTTACACAAACACTTACAACCACAAAAAAATATCCAGCATAGTTCAAAATCTGATTTTGACAGTATTACAACAACTCACGGTCTCAGGTGGATTTATATCACTTAATAAGACAGACGAAGTTCTGCTGTTTCCTTGAACTGGCTCCCTAGCAACAACCAGATGTAGAGATCCTGTGGATTGCTGGAGGAGGGCAATAGCGTGCTGATGGGAAATGTTCTGATCCAATGGGGTGCAATTAATGGCCAGTATGTGGTCATTTTCCTTCAGTCTTTGATCCCTTAACAAAACATTAAAAGAAACTTTAAAATGCAGCATAGCGACTTCACAACAGGCTTGTGTAATTGCAATATGAACATGCAAAATACACACTTATGCAACGTGAAATATTTCTATATTTTAAAAATCTGCTTATTAGGTTGTCTCCACTGACATACACATGCAATCCACGCTGTACTGAACTGCCCAGCCATGCTTTGTTCCAACTTCATCATGGTACAGAAATTTGTTCATTTTTTTGCCTTTGCTTCTAGGAAATTCCATCACCCTTTCTTGATGATATTGAATTACAGGGCAGAAAAAAAATTTTTTGTAGTTCTACAAAGAACTAGGAACTATTCTTCATTATGTTTAGCACTACATGATTCTAAGTACCCACACCTCAGGCTATGATATTGTTTTGTTTCACTATTTCATCTAAAGATCGATGAGCTGTGCATCTATATTTTACTCAAAATTTACAGTATCAAACGTCACACGTCAAACTGTCTTTGAGCGATACACAGTTCAACTATTACCTTAAGATAATATAAATTTCACAGTTAATTCACCCTAGTGATGAATTTAGATTTGTGACAAGAGAGAAACCATCACTCATCTCCTTTGTTAAATATTCATTCTGAGCATGAGACCAAACTGTTTCATAGACAGACACTGCCTTCAAAGCTCTGTAGGAATCCAAAAAAAGTCTCCAGGAGATCTTGTCTCAGAAGCAAAACGGGAAGTATGCTAACGAAATTTATAAACTCCAAAACAATATAACTGCACATCTTAACTAACACATTTTAAACTTACTTTGCATCATGCAATGTTTAAGATGTTTCCCAGAAATCACTTTTTTTCAAGCACTAACCATATTTTAGATTCTCTCATCAAAGAAAATGAGCAGCAGGTCATCAAATCCTAAAGTGAGATATTCACCCTCCTTTGACATCCAGATCAGTCCATCTGTCTCCACTTTGAAAGAACCTAATATGCTTTTCTCTGAGTGTTCTCTGGTGTGTTCTCTGTGGGCCCATAGCCATTATCATTTCAACCTCTCCCCACTCGTTTTGTCATCCTGTGTTGGCACTTCCTGACATGTGTTATTTAAAAAGTGACACCAATGACTTGAAATCTAGACACATTTTCTTGAAACATAATTCCAAGCACTGCATTTGTCTCATGCCAACTCTTGTGGTTTTACAATCACATTTTATTTTTAAAGGATTGCTCTCTCTTTTGTTGTTGGGTGAAAACCCACAGACAATACGGCAAGAAACCGCCTGAAGCCTTGATTCTATGATGACATCTGCGCAGGGATCTGTTGGGAGGACTGGATCTAAATTTACCCAGGAAAAAACAGTAAAACCAGCTATAAATAGGGCATTGTCATAGGCACATAAATAAAGAAACAAGGGGGAAAAAAAAAAATCCTTTCAGGGACACGATGCATAAAAATTCAAAGGGAGGCTAATTTTTATTTTCCTTGTATTCTTTTCCGAATTTTCTTTTGTTTTTAATCAGTACTCAAGATTCTCTTAAATGAGTCATGATTTCTGGAAATTCCATTTATGAATGGCTTGGATATTTAAAACTCATCTGAGAATTTGATCCTCAAAACATGAGTCCATTTAGTTGAAAAGACAGAATTCAAGATACCACCAACAAAATATCCCACCAGATAACCCAGACAAACCTGTTAGTCTGATAGAGTTTTCAGCGTGAAAGTCTTGACTTTTCCCTTCATGGACATACTGCAATTTTCCAATACAATTATAAAGATCTCACCTGTCAGCTATGCTTCCTGGCTGGACTTCCTTAACAAAGATACCAACTTCTCCCAAGCTGGGATTTTTAAGGGCAACCACACTAAATCCAAGACCTCCAACAGAAGGCTTTTCAATCGTTATTGATTCTATTTGTCTCCCCTAATAAAACAGAAAAAAAGATTTACTAATTTTTAATGCAATAGAATGAGCTAGTTTAAAATTTATGAACACTGGGAGAATTATTCTCCTCCTAAGACTAAACAAAGGCAAAATACTGAATATGTTATTTCTATAAAAGCTCCTCCATTTATTATTTTTAATATAGCAGAGTATTGGATATGCAAGCACTCTGAGGTTCTGAAACCTCAGGGAATTTAAGAGCTGCTTTCACACTTCATTCACATTATGAGATGAATTCCAAACTGGATGAAAACTATGAACGAAGTGCTGTCTAGAGCAATATATTTGGGATTTCTGGAAATGCTGCACAGCTAAGCTAAATTATTTGTCTTTTGGCTCCCCTTGCTTTTAATGCTGATTTTTAGATGTGCCTTCAAAAGATTGCAGCTTTTAAATACAGAAATTAATTTCCTTCCCCTCCCAAAACTTCACACTTGTTAAAAAAAAGTTTGTTTTTGCGACTGCCTGCTTTCCAGTTCTAACACAAGATTTCTGGGGTTGTTTACTGGGAAATATTACTTAGAGAATGCACTGCTATCACAGCTGTTTTATCCAAAATAATGTGTGGTCTTTACTGCTAAATCTTTTATCTGATGAGTTAATGACACACTAATGAGAAGAGTTATGCTCAAAATATTACAGCTACATTAAGGTAGGCAATTAGCAACAGTTACTTAATATAGAAATGCATGACTAACCAATTAAATTAATGGTTCAAAGTAACACAGAACAACACATTTGTGGTATAAATGCCAATCCCACACGGGTGGATGTCTGCACCTGTAGAACTTCCGTAAGCATCTGGTACATGCTACATCCCATGTTAATGAAACTGGCATCTGTCTGGCAAAGTTAAGACATACTAAACGAGGAATTAAATAAAATATTACATGCCAGTTCTTTTAATCATTTGCACTGTTCATATATTTAAAAATTTGGTGCATTTCCAGTTTAAAATATACTTCATAAAACAAGTCCCTCCATCAAAACAAGTTTCTGCAGAAAATGTCCATTTTCAATTAAGTGTCATCAAATACCAAAAACACTTTCTGGCAACTGAGATTTCTACATTGATGTGTTTGGTAGCAAGTAAGACCAAAAAATCTGGGAAAGAAAAAAGAAAAAAAACCCCACCACCAAATCACTTTCCATTGCTGACATTATCTTTCACAGGAAAAGTTATCCTCAGCACTTTGACTCTCTTACTGGCTAGGAGGCACCATGCTCCCAGATACACAACAAAAGAGCACGTTTGAAAATGTACTGCAAAAGCCTGCAAGAAAATGTTTGATATTAAAAGAAAACAAGTTTGGTTCACTAAACCCGAGAGCCTCACCTTTGCCATCTGTTGGATGATTGCATTAAATTCATTAACACTCAGGTTTGGAGTGAAGGAAGATGTTCTGGCCTCAGGTGAACTGCGAGGTGTATAGACACTCCCAGCAGCAACTGATTTGTCAGCAAACACTAGTAGTCCTCTCTTAGTAAAATCAAAATCTACTGAATGGTCAGGAGGCATATAATTGAGCTGTTGAAAATGAACAAAGATGTAGAAAAACTATTAAAAACAGAAGAAGAGATTTCCACATATATCATCTTGTGTGAAGACTGCCAAAGAAGCAAGCATACATATGTTCCTATATGCCTATTCACACACCTGTATAAATTAGACAATGTTAATATATAAGCTATAACCAAGCTACCATATCAAGTTTATACTGTTTTTTCGGGAAAAAAAAAATTCCTTGAATGTTTCAGCCATGTTTCTACTCCACTGCATTTCTTTCATTCTGCTTCCCTACCCATGCCCCTTATCCTCTTTTCACCCTGATATTCCAGAAACAACACATGCAAAAGCAACAACATTAAAGAGGTACTCAAGCACTGTTGCAACTGTCAGGCAAACCTAGATGATTTTGGCACAAGAATCCAAATTTTTTAAGAGTCACTTAGTCAGCCAGCAAAGGCCTCTGTATTATCTCCTCCCCGGAGAGAGCCGAGGGTACAAACTAACTACCATTGAACATGTTATCATTGCTAGAACTTGCAGTTCCATGTCTAGTCCAGACAGATAACGATGAAGAAACGCAGAAATATTCCCAGTAAACTGAAAAATCCCATCCTGAATGCAACTGCTCATGAAGGACAAGCTTAAAAAGAATCCCAAGAAAAACAACATTTTCTAGATTTTATAATGACAAACATTCTGGATATTAAAATCCCTTATAGCACAGTCACAAAGCACGATCTTAGACATACCTGCATCTTCATACATTAATAGCTTGCAGACATGCATCCAAGCTTTGGAAGGAAGGAACATGAGAAGACAGAGCACCTTTGTGAACACGGGGAGAAGGGAGAATCAATGGTACAACCACTACTGTGCCACCCAGGCAGGAACACGTGCAACACATCCAGCAACGAGAGAAAGGTGGCCTCATCCCCCCTGTCCTGGGCAGGTGCAGCAGGAGCAGAGACAGGGATCACTGCTGCTTAGGGTGTGCTAAGTTAGTCCCTGATTTTAACTTCGCATGCCTGACTCTGCTAACTGCACAGTGAGAACTGTTCATGCAGATGTGTCATTGATGCCCGTGTCCACAAGATCTAAGTGTCAGCTGGCATTATAAATCAATCCACACAAGTTCCTTCCACTGCTGGAGCCAGGTCACTTTAAAGATAGCTTGGGTACGTCTGCATCAGAGCTTGGCAAATCTTCAGGGGTGGGTTTCTAGATTATATTTGCCTAAACAGGTTAATCATTCTTGTACATCAGGAGCTAAGTGATGACGCCTTTTAAGAAGAGAAAAGATGCTGCCAGTTAGCTGATAAACAGTATTTAGCTTCTGTGAAAAAACAAAGGATCTCAGTTCCAACTGTTCAGAACTCAAAGTACTAGAGCTGATGTCTTTTGCAGATACTTTTTTCCGACTGATGTGGTTCTCAACACTCGCCTCTTCTGCGTCCCTTTCAAAGCACATTGCTCCATGACCTGTTTGTTGCAACGCTCCTCATTTCAGCAGTGACTCCGTAGATACCAGTTTGACCAGATTAAAAAAAAAGGGGCCAACACTCACTCACATAAAGTTACAGCTTATTAATGAGAGCGCCCTCATCAACACACACCACACACCCGCATGCCCTAAATCCCAAGTTCACTATAGTTATCATCACACTGATGTTCCACTCACTTGTTCCTTCAGCTGCTTGATGGACTGCTGGAGGGTCAGTATCTGGTTAAACAAAGGGCTCCTGAGAGTGTTACGCAGAACCATCAGGTTTTCATTATGTTGGGAATCTCTTTTCTCCCGCAATTTTGCTTGCAGGCGATCCAGGATCTGCAGCACCTGCTGTTTATCTACACCACAAAGGAGTATACGTTAGGAATGGAGCTTCATTTCTCACTGCTTAACAAAGGTACTCGCTTTCAGTCGACATACCTGCAGCGGGATTTTCAGGCATGTTGAAGGGTACTTTTGGAATCATTCAGAATAACCTACATGAGGTTTAAAAAAATAAATCAAATTAATAAATTAAATATCTGAGCAGAATGTTAATGATACAAAAGTCAATAAATGCAATAATAAAATACTAAGCTAGTTATAACAAATTTAATTAAAAAATACTATTACCCCCTGTTGTTTGCCCCAGGTATCCAACAAAGGTATCAATACAACTAGCTGCACTGCAGCCTCAGCACATCCAAAAATCTTCCCTTGTTCTATATGCTTTTCCTTTCACACACAGGAAAGAATATGAACAACTTTTTCAAATATGAGAAAAAAATGCAGATTATAAAACCAGACATCGGCCAATAAAACTGAGAAACAGTTAAGGCAAGGCCTAAAATTGGCCAAATCAATTCCTAGTCCAACATGTTTCCACAGGAGGTCAGTTCCAATTGCAGCCCTGGTGCTGAACAGGTGAAACAAGCCCTTTCTCCTCTCCTACATAAGCTTGCCTTTCTCTTTTCTATGTATGTGACAAGCTTTTATGGAGCAGAACATCCTTTATCACATTCCTCTACAGTGCCAAACAGAACAGGTCTCCAACCGGGGCTGAGGCCTAGATGGCAGCAGAAAAACAACAGACATGCAATTAGCATCGATGATAAATTTGTGCTCTTACTTGCATGCTATTACATTGATGTGGAGCCTGTCATTCTGAAATCTAAAGGCAGTTATACCAAAACATACACAAGAAACAAGATTTCTTCACTTAGTACAAGCTCCTCTGAAAGAAGTCAGCCATTTAATAGCACAATTTACATAATTTTAACTCTACCCAGTATATAACTCTGTAATATCAGAATAATAAACTCTGAACTATTTTGGAACAAAAATAGACATATATATTTTTAAAAAGCTCTGTATTTACTTTTTTAATCTTTCACTTTGAGAGTAGAAAGGCTCATATGCATCTGAATGTAATAGCAGGGTAAGCACATCCCAGGGGCTCTCTCCCAGGACGACCTCTGACCCCTTCAGCTCTGTCTCTGACACTGTCTATGCTCACACTGAAAACATCTTGAGTTCTGGGAGGATGCTGTTATATTTAACAAAATATTAACTATGCAGGTGAATAGCTTCTCTCCTCCTGAAGAGTCAGATTAAGCTGATTTACCTAATGGAGAAAAAAAAAAAAAAAAGTGGAGGTGTGTCACAAACCACAATTTCAGATTTATGCTCCCTTTACTGTATCCGAGCAGCTTGGGCTCCTGGAGGAATTCCTGCAGAACTTGGTGGGTTCGCGTGGTTCCCACTCAGGGCCAAGCAAAATGAGCCTTTTGCAAGACTATTAACAGATTTAGGAGGTCATTTTAAATCAAACCCATAGCAAGAGTTGAAGCAGCAAACCCATACAACCCCTGAAAGATTTTCAGGAATGCATCTGAACTTTTGTAAGTGCTGCAGCTCTATTTTCTTTTCCATTCGAAATAAAACACTTCTAAGAGCACAGCAGCCTTTGATTCTGTGCTGAGATCTGATTCTGAAGAACAGATGAAAATACCATTTCCTTATACATTCCTGAGTCTTCATCTGCACCAAAAAGACAAAGCTTAACCTCCTTGCCTAAAAATATTGTATGAATCTTAACAAAACAGGACAAAGAATATGGAAATTTGTTCTTTCTTCCCAATTTAACTGCCCTCCATTCACTTCCCTCCTCTGCTTTTCTACCTCACACCAGTAGTTAAGAGGGGAAAAAAAAAACCAAAAAAACTCTAAAGCAAGTGAACATCAGAAAGGGATGCAAAATAACTCCTATGAGGAAAACTGGCTTGAAACACCTTTAAACCAGCAGTAGGGTGAAGAAAAGATTAAACTCAGGAAAGAAATCCAGCATGGCAGGAAATAATGCCGACTTGACAGCATCATGCCCATCTAACAGCTGAAGCCAAGAGGCTGGTCCAGCTCTGCAGCCCTCTTTCATGCGTTTTGTTCTTCCCTTTCCATCTGCGCTCGCACTCATTCATCTGATCCCATAGTGAGCTGGAACAGGGAGCTAAACACGCAGAAAAAACCCTTCACATTTTGGTAGGGTGAGCTTTTTGCCCAGTTAGCTCTCAAATGCCAGCACTGGCACGCAGGAGGGGGCCGAGACGTGCTGGGGAAGCGGGACCACACCTTGCAGCAGCTCAGCAGCTCGCGGTTGCAGCAGCTCAGCTGCACTGGCAAACTGCACCATGAGAAATAGCCTGCGTGATTCAAAAACAGCCTCAAAGTGCCGCGCTGACAGTCTCCAAGATTAATCTTTTTTCCATTACAGCGGGTGTAACAACAGCAATTATGACGATGGGTACAGATCCAAGAAGGAAAAATTGAAGCAGAAAAATGTAGGTAAGAGATGTAGGCTCCATCGAACGAGCAGAAGTCCCCTGGAGAAGGAGGTGCAGAAGGTGGGGGAAATAAGAGATTAAAGAAAGTTTCAGCTTCTGCTTGAGCTGCTCGAAAGTGCTGCTAAGAGCCATTGCAGACCACCCTGTGTCAGTGGACGCCAAAGTGGACCTCAGGTACAGTTCGTTAACAGTTCAGGTTTAGACAGCACTTTGGGATTCCCTGTGATCAAAGCTGGCCTCCAGCCAGCTCACAACCATTTTTAATGATTTTTTTTTTGTGCAATATGTTAAAATCACCTTCAGTATTTCTTTGTTCTCCTTTCTTTTGTACAAAGAGAGGGGGGGGGGGGAAAAATGTGTGTTATATTTTAAAGTAAACAGCTTCTTCTGTTGTGAAGGGATTCCTGAAAACATAAACTAATTTAAAGTTTTCAAGTAACAAATAATTGGGGACAGGTCTCCAAGACTGGCTTTTGGGCACCAGGGAAACACACAACTCCATATACTATTAAGCTGTTTATGCTTGGGGGCCCAAATAGCTTATTGTTAAACAATTTTCAGACACAGATACTAAGTCCAAGCAGGGTGTCAACAGACAGTTGCTAAATTAGGAGGTCTACTCTAGACGATAATTTTTAAGAGTGGTCCAAACACTATGGTTTGTCTTGTTAAAATCAGTTCACCCACTCCACATTCAACTTCCTTAGCTCAGTTCTCTGATTTCTACACCCACTTATTTGTCTTACTGGTAGAAAAAACTGCAAACCTCAGTTCAAAATTTATGTCACAACTCCCAATATAATTGTAAAATCACTGAGAAAATAATGAATTTCATAAAGTTTAGTGGTTTCCACACCAGAAAAAACCCCACACTCCAGCACAGCATGCATCTGGGTTTTTACTGTCTTCACTTTTGAGAGCTGAACTCAACGCATCGTAGGGAGCGGGAAAGTTTCATAAGGTTTTGTATGAAATCCCAAGACTTGGATCTTCTTCAAAAGCCGACTAAGAAAAAAGGAATTCCCCCATGCTGATGCCAGCAGAGGTCATCAGAAGAGCTGAAAGGTTTAAGTCTTCCATTGCCACCAGCCCCTCGCCAGATGCCTGCCACTTGCACAGAGACACGGGGCGCTCAACGCCAGCACATCCCAGAGCCGCAGAGGAACATGACACCCCTGGCAGTGGCCTTGTCAAACACTTGCCCTCTGGAAAGGACTGCTGAAAGACAGAAATAAGGGTTCTCCTGCTGAGGTATGGAGGAGGACATGGTTTAGCCAGCAGAGATTCTTCTTCCGATTTCTCCCCACCCACCTAACAACTACAACTGCTTCTGCCCTACATTCTTCAACTTGGCCTCCAGCAACCTACGTCCTTCCAGGAGATGTGCCTGCAGAGAAAGTCCTGCCTCGTGGGAGGCTCTCCCCCTCTCAACATGGGTGTAATCTTTTGGGACACTAAACACCACAAGTCTGTAATGCACAAGTTCTAACTGCTGCTATTTTTCAAAGGCTTCTAACATGGCCAAGCTGAGCAGCCTGCCACGGGAACAGCCAGAACAGCCAAGGGTACATCCCAAACCAAAGTCACCTTTCTGCACTAATGCAGTTCTAATTTTTTCTGGCCCTGTTACGGTGCATATCATCTTCCTCATCAGAGAAATCTCTGACTTGGAAAATTTCAGCCCAAACAGTTCAAAATTTGGTAAAGGAAAAAGAAAGGAAAAACAGCACTTGTTAGTGTGATCTTAATTGTAAATTGTCCTAACACAGCATCACCTGTCACTTCAGATGTTAAAAATTATATAGTTTACACGCCATCAGGTAACAATGTACTGTGAAAAAACAACACCATTCTAACACATATTTTGCTGTCCTACATGTTATGCTCAGTTTTCCATCCTGGTAACATAAAGGAGAATCCAGTTCAACCGAGTTTAGCATGCACAGACCTTTCAGACGAAACCACCAAAACCTGCTGTTCTGTGTAACGCTGCAGTATTTACAAAAAGTGCTACAGAGCACAAGCTGACTGCTCCAGGCACTTGAAAGAAGGAAGGAAACAACCACACAGTACTGTGAGTACCTAAACACAAATACACCACACATCTCCAGGGGAAAGCAGGTCAAAGCTAAATACTGTTAAATCTAAAAAAAAAAAATACTCCACGGGCAAACTGAGCATGTCCTGTTGTTACACTATTAGTGACCACAAGATGAGGAAAGCACAAAAAAAAAAAAAAAAAAAAACCCAAAACCTCTGCATCTGTGATTACCAGCCTCCATGCAGATCAAGAGGAGCCTTACTCACTCTCAAGGCATGCTAACTTTTAACAAGCAGAACCTGAATTCCTGCGGACTTCAGCCTCGAGGGAAGTGCTGGTGTGGGTACTCTGATGTCTAATAGGAGGGTGAGCTCATGCTGAAGCCATTCCCTGTGGAGCAAGAAACGTATCGTCTCAAAGCTTGAGGAAAACCTGTTTCTGAGATCTAAATATTGTCATATTCTACCGAAATTAGCCAATAAATCCTAGGATTGCTATGATGACAATGTACATGATTAACAAATCGCTTCATGGGGGAGGAGAGCTGTTAGACCTGGAACCATACTGAATTTCTAAGCTTCA